TTCTCTGTTCTGGCTCGGGGCCAACTACCATCGCCCCATGGACCTCCCAGACACCAAGGGACTATGCTGGAGGGAAGGGATCTACCGGTGTCTGAGGAGTGTCCGGGCCTGAGCCAGAACCAGCCCGCTGTCAAGCCCGCCGGCCGCGGCTCTCTCCAGCCCACTGGCCATTCCTCAGTCAAGCCCGCCAGCCGCTCCAAAGTCAAGTTCGCGGGCCGCCGCTCACTCAAGCCCACCGGAATCTCTGCTGTCAAGCCCGCCGGCCACTTCCTCAGTCAAGCCAGCCGGCCGCAGCTCACTCACGCCCGCCGACCACGCCTTTCACCCCGAACCTAAAGGGTAATTTAAGGAGGAGAAGGCGGTCGGCTCCAGCCCCAGCGCTAGCTCCAGTGTCAGCTCCAGCCCCAGAGCTCGCTCCAGTGTCGGCTCCAGCCTCAGAGCTTGCTCCAGTGTCGGCTCCGGCCCCCGAATCCAGCCCAAAGAGGGCTCCTGTTCCCGAGTTTAGCCCACGGAGGGCTCCTGTTCCCGAGTTTAGCCCAGAGGGTTCCAGTCCCCGAGTGTAGCCCAGAGAAGGCACCAGTCCCTGAGTGTAGCACAGAAAGGGCTCTAGTAGTGGCGAGGCCAAGGCCACGGAGGCCATCCAGCCATGGCCTCCTGAGTTCCATGCTCCGCCGTGGCCTCCTGAACTGCCTGCTCCGCCATGGCCTCCTAGTCTGCCTGCTCCGCCATGGCTTCCTAATCTGCCTGTTCCGCCATGGCTCCCTGAGCTGCCTGATCTGCCATGGCTCCCAGTCTGCCTGATCCACCATGGGTCCCGGAACGGGTACCACCCTGGAGACCGTCCGTCTCTGTATGCCTGTAGTCTATAAGTGACAAAATGCAAAAGTAAAACTTGTATAACAACATCAGTCCTGTGTTCCGTGTTTTGTGTTTTCCTCCCCCACGTACTTTCCATGACCCAGTTTTCCCTCATGTGCAGTTATGTTTATTGATCCCAGGTGTTTCTCGTCAAGTCCTGTGTATTTATAGTGATTCCTGTTTTGAGTTCACTGTGCTGTCTCGATCGTCAATCCTTGTTCCTACGTGTGTGCTCCATGTGGTAAATAAAGACTGTTGAATTCTCCTACGTCTCCTTCGCTCCTCGCGCCGACACAGTAGGCAACACCGTGACACTATCGTTTTCAATGACTTCATATTCAATATTTTGATCACTGGCAGCTTATTCACCACATCCAGCATCAAATGACAGTGACATTTA